TATAAACACTAACAGAATAATAACAAAAAAAACGATAGCAATAACTAAGAAAAGACACAAATGACAATAACAACTATAACATTACACAAATGAATAAAAAATATAAAACCATTTTTCTTCTTCTTCTTCAAGGTAAAAGCTGTTTGGCCCGATAAGTCCCCTGCAGCTGGAGTCCCTGTCGAAGTGTGTGCAGCTGGAAAGTGTAAGAACATGACCACAGCTGCTGACGGTTTGTTCACAGCTCTGGTTTCTTCGGACAACACTAATAGGATCTTTGTAAGTAGGATTGTAGGATTGTAGGATTGTCTGGTTCGTGTTTTCTTTCTGGGTCTGTGTTTGGGAGGGCTGTGTGTGGGGTGGGGGTGGGGTGGGGTGGGGTGGGGTGTGTGTGTGGGATGGGGGGTGGGGGGGGGGGGTTGGGTGTGGGTGGTGTGTATGGGGTGTGTGTGTGTGTGGGGTGGGTGGGGTTGTGCGTGTGTGGGGGGTGGGTGGGTGTGTTTGTTGTGTGTGTGTTGTGTGTGGGTGTTGTGTGTGTGTGTGTGGTGGTGGTGTGTGTGTGGGGGGGGGGGTGTTGTGTGCGTGTGTGTGAAAATTCGTGTGTGTATTTTATTTATTTGTTTATTTCTTATTTATTTCATTGTGTTCGTTTTATTCTCCATCTTCTCGTAAATAGATTTGCTTCGTTATCTTCTTTCGTCTCTATACCCTATATGAATTTAATATATAGATCTACTCTTCTAGTCCATATTTACCCGTACATCTCCACCCCTTCTTTTTACCTCTATTTTCCTCCAATCCCCTAGATGTCAACCTTGAACTGCCGCGCCGACATGCACTCGTCCTCCTACTCCAAGGAACTCCAGCACTACTACTCCCCCTCCAACTCCTCACTCCTTATCCAAGTACCCGAAGGCCAACTCAAGTGCACTCCAGGGCAGCCCGGTACCTACAACATACCCATCTATTTCTCTGCCAAAAACCAGGAGAGGGCTTCTTTCACCGTGCAGGTACGTGTCTGGGAAGAGGGTGGTACTTAGGTGGTCCTTGAGGGTAAGATTTGGGTAAGAGAGCTACTGGATTCCATGTAAGAGGGATTTGTTATATATGTAGATTCATGTTTTTTTTTTTTTTTTTTTTTTTTTTTTTTTTGGTTAACAATGGGGTGTCGATCGGTGATAATAACATTGTTTTATTTTCTTATCTTATTTATTATCCATGGCGAGGTTGCAGGCATTTGCACCTCGGACTCCATCAACCTGATCGCCATCCATTTATTTCAAATAAACCCCATTAACCAATAAAAGGAACAGGTGAACAGACAGAATAAATCAAAGGAACCGAAGAAACGAATCAACCCACTTTTCTCCCGATCCGAAAAACACGCGTCACGCCCCCTGTTCCTCCCTCAGGTGATCTCACGAGGGAAGATCCAGAGCTATGAGACCCAGGACGTGGAATTGCTCCCTGGCTCGCTGCCCATCGACGCCGAGCACCTGGTGGACCCCATCAGCGCGCCCGCGGACGGTACAGTGACGGGCAAGATCGACTTTCCCATCTCGCTCCCGCCCACGGCCTCGCCTACCGTCAATGTGAGTGGAGTGGGGAGGGGAAGGGGGAGGGGGAGGTGGCAATGGGTGGAGGGAGGGTGGAAGGAGGATGGGTTGTGGTGAAGGGATTGAGAAGGAAGGGTTAAAAGCAGAGAGGAAGAAGTGGAGGAAGAATGGAGGAGGAGGAGGTGTTAAAGAACAGTAAAAACCACAGAGCAAAAACCTTCCACAACACAACAACATAAAAACCAAGAATGTATTCATCAACCTCTACAATAAGACCTCATACCTTATATACCTTCCATCCACGTATCTTCATGTGGAATTCACGACGAACAGACTGCGACAGGAACAACGAAGGGAAGGACAAGAAAACACACGTGTTTTCTTATCCTTCCCTTCGTTGTTCCTGTCCCATATCTCCATGTCCT